TAAACCAAAAGAAAGTGTTATGTATTTCTTAAGGCTCAGTGCTGCCTTTGTGGTCACTGCGGTTGACGACGTGCTTTTGAATTACAATGGAAACATTACCAAGAAAATTGCAGGCGTGTGCCAGAGTCTTTGATTTCTGTTAGGATCCAAATAAAAGATAAAAAGCAAAATGATTTTCGAAACGACTATTGCTATAGACAAAATAGTGCCCACTACAGCTAGGAAATGAGCGATCTCCGACACCTTACAGGAGTTCTACACCGTAAAGAAACTACATCAAATTGCGCGTTCTCCTATTGGATTCTGATGTATGAACCAGCACTCTGTGAACACCTAGAGGCGACTTTTTTTATAACTTAGAGGATGCAAATCCTGATGTTTGGTTTCCATAATTCTTCAGAAGTAAAAGAGATTGAATATATCAAAATCATAGAAATCTCTCATTTTGGGGAACTTTCTAATATAATTATCATACCATTTATCCCATAATTTCTTCCAAGTAACCACTAATGGCCAGCATTGTCAGAGACAATAACAAATGATAGGAACTACTTGTAACTGGAGAATTGACTCCTTGAAAAGTCAATTACTACTGTATCAAGGAAGGACCAGAAATAAAACGTAATCATGAAAACTACATCGATTTCCATTTCCTTTTATAGCTGCAATTAATCTTAATAGAGAAAAAGAACTTTAATCTCTATAAGTAGGAACTACGAAATCTTTCGCCTCTTGCAGAGACCACACGTAGGTGGAACTGAACAAATTTTCAGCAATTTCACGTGTTGAGTCGTGTTTCTTTTCTCTGGCTTTTTGTAAAATAGTTTCCAATTGTAATATGCCATGACACTTTGACGTGTTAAAATGAGACGTTCGATATCACCGAACTCCTGCATCTGTTTTTTTAAATATTTACTGCCGTTAAGAGCAGATAATCTCTCTCTAGGAATTATTTTACCGTACACTTTAATTGTCCTGTATACAGTGTTCCTTGGTATAAATATGTAATCATGTATTAATTTCTTATTGAGAGGTGAATCAAAAGTAATAAACTAATTGTAGGTTTCTCTGAGGATCGTAGAGGGTGTGAGTGTTTGCTAAAACGTCGGCACTTTATGTTTCAATATTTTACTTATCTTCCAAGTTTTTGCCAATCCTCGGCATAGTGCGGCCCAAGGCAAAGGGCTCTTTTTCCAAAAGCTCACTTAATCAGGAACGGTAGTCATGATACAAAATCAGGAACCGTGGTGATAATGCAACATTTCAATGACATTATGAATAACGACCTTTCTTCGTCGGACTTCACTTGGCACAATGTTTCTCAACAATTAAGGAATAGGACAAGGCAGACAACACTTACAATATACAACAATTTGGGAAAATCTTCACGTATTTCATATAAATCACAACCACCTTGATTTAACATAAATTCAAAACAAGTTCGTGCTCCAAATAGTCAACCTTTCGAGGTCATATGTTATGCTGAAAGTTCCATGTATTTAAAATCATTTGTTATTGCCAATGGCCAACTCTTCAATCTATATAAATTTGTTTTTTCTATAACAATAGTGTTGTCGACCCATGGGTATACATATGTTTATTGCAATGATTGTTAATTTACAGTTATCACCTTTAGATCAGTTTTCTGATGCCATAAATCAGTCCTGCTTGATTATAAATTACACCTCGCATCCAGGCCATCAACGGTTCCTTCGCCAAAAAGTTTCCGAACAAAGGTCGTAATCAGAGATTCTACTGAGTGCTTTTCTTGTTTGGCCCTCAGTTTAAAACGAGGGGAATATCCATACGAAAGTGACAGTCATTCGGCCACGCATCAGAGATGAACTTGGGTACCTCCTTGTTCACTTTTGCAAATAAATTTTCTTGAATTACTTTGAAAAACTCAAAATGTACGTAGCTAGAGTTACTGGGATTCGAGATTCGGTCCTATCGTTTCTTCTATCCGTAAGTCCAGAGCTATGTTACTGCTGAAAACAATACGCCGCACCTTCTATCGGTTTACCAGACAGAAAACGCACTGAGACCGCCAGGAAGAACTCGAAAACTAAATTTATAATTCAGTCGCCGTCTGTTCGTGATTTACTTACTTTTCCCGAGTGCTTCCAATTTATGTTTCTTTCGGGTAATTCCTCTGGTAAATCGATATCTACTGCTGAACTATACACGTCTTCCTTGTAGAGGTAACCCTTCGACCATCACAGTTGCATGCATGGTCCCTCCAATTGTTGACGTCGTTTTGCATTACTGTGAGACACTGTTTCTCGGAAGCCGAACACAGTCACTAAAAATCTCCCTGAAAGCTCTCCTGTAGGTCGGAATTCTCCACGCGTAGATGAAGGGGTTTAAACAACAATTTATCAAAAGGAACTTGTTAGACGCGTACAAGAAAATACGAAAACTTTCTTGACTTATGGCATCTGGGCAAAAAACAAGAACATTTTGAGCGATAAACTGTGGGCCGAAAGATAGGTAAAAGAAAACAAGAATCAAGAGAAATGCCGACACCATTTTGTGTTCTCTATTCCTGTGGGCCGTGTCCATTTTCTGCCTTCCATTATCATCT